CTGGGGATTTCAAACTGCCGACCTTGTGGCTGGCAGGCCCCGCCTAACCACTGCAGTACCAGAGCCTCACAGCGAATCCATGGAGGGTCTCTGAGACTGTAGCCCAGTGCTGAACACACAGCACCACCAGCGGCCCTTCCTAGGGAAGGGTTAAAGCACACCAACCTGTCCCCACACCAGGAACCCTAGGAATTGCCCCAGGCACCTAGGAGTGAACAAAAGATGGAAAAATTCATCGCCAGGGCACAAATTAGAAGGAGACTTGGTTTGAGTCAGGAGATGTGAGTACCATGATGAAGTGACCTTGGACAAATGGTCTGATCTTTCTAAGCCTCGGGTGTTCCTGCTGAGAAGTGGGCTGATGAAACCGATGCGTCCCTGGCAGCAAAGTGGGTTACGAGCTGGGCAGCTAACAGCAAGGTTGGCAGTTCAAAACCACCAGCTGCTCCTTGGAGAAAGATGAGATTTTCCAGTCCCATCAAGAGCTCTACCCTGTCCTATAGGGCCCCTGTGATTTGGAATCAACAAGGTGGCAGCGAGTCCCTGCACGGACATGGCCTCACACTTTAGGGGAACAAAGGGCCAGAGAGGTCTTTGCCCAAGGAAGGGCAGCTAAGCCATAGCTTCCTGGTATCCCCAGCCCCATCGCCTGGACCTCCTGCACCTGTGAGCGGGAGCGTTTCCACCATGGACTGCAGTCCCAGCTTGCAGCGACTGTCTCCCCTCCTTCTCGACAGTGTTTTCTCCACGGCCCGCATGGAGCCTGGTGGCACCGCGGTTAAGGATTTGGCTGCTAACGGGAGGGTTGGTTTGAACCCAGGGACTGGGGGGGGGGGCAGAAAAGTATAGTCATCTTCTCCCATACAAATTTACAGCTTCGGAAGTCCTGCTGGGGAGGGGGAGCAGTTCTACTCTGTCCTATAGGTGGCTAAGAGTCCCCGCTGACTTGAGAGCAATGGTCGCTCGTTACTATGTCAGGAGCTCTGGCGGCACAGGAGGCTGAGTTGGGCTGCTGGTTGGAAGGTTGGCAGTTCCAAGTCACCAGCTTCTGGATGGGAGAAAGAGGAGGCTTTCTGCTCCCACAGAGCTGTAGGAAACCCAGAGGGGCAGTATGAGCCTGTCTTGCAGGGTTGACTGGAGGGCAGTGAGTGTGTGATAAGCATCAAACCCGACACAGGGCAGTCAACTCTGAGTCCTGCTTCCCAGCCACCCCGCTCCCTACCCCACTGGTGTGTGTGTGTGTGTATGGGGGCAACTGCAGTGGATGTGCAGGGGGTTGCTTCTTACCCAGACTGGGCCGCCATCAAGGTGACAGGGGGCAGTCAGGCACCGAGGGAAGCAGAGGCCGGGGACCTGCAAAGATGGCTAAGAACAGTCTTGAGATGCCGCTGGTGCCCATGAGCCAATGACCCTTCAGACCTGGATGGGTGGGGTCCTGGGCCCGGCAGTCCTGAACACAGGCCACCAAGTGTGGGGTGTGAGGGCCAGTGCCTTTAAGGGCACAAGCAGACAGGCTGTGAGATCGGGGAGGGGTGACGCGCAGGGGGTGGACCCAGCCCTGTTGGCAGGCCGAGCCCGGGGATCTTTGGCTCAAAGTCTCCAAGCAGCATTTCTGTTTGGCTCTGCTCGCCTGCAGAGCAAACACGGGCAGATTGGAATTCCCACTTGGGCTCTTCCCAATTCAAACAGCCTTGTCCAAGACCTTCAATGGCTTGCCTGGGGCAGAAGTGGCTCTGCTTGCCCAGGCCGGGCCTTGGAAAGCAGGCTGCTCCTTCCATTTCCCACCCTGAGATCCAGCAGGGCTGTCCCCACGCAGCTCATCCCATTTGGCGCCATCCTGCCAACCTGGTGGCTTGGTGACTGCAGGCGCCCAGGCCTGAGTCCCCTCTGATCACACGCAGGCCCTCCCCCAGCTCTGGAGGGAGGGATCAGGCTTACCTGGCTTACAAGGCTGGAGGTATTTGGAAAGTAGCCGAATTTTTCAGCCCCTTTAACTGCTTGTTGATTTCTCCAGCCGGAAGCAGTCTTTAGTATTATGTGGACCCAGGCAGAGCTGGGAATACAAGGTGTCCTGTTTGTCCCCCCCCCCAAGACCCAATACCAAGGGACTGGAAACTGTACACCTCAATGTTTTCGCCTCATGCAGATGAGACAGGACACCTCCCCAAACACACTGCCCTTCAGCAGGTCAGATTTGGCTCGCAGTGGTAGCTCTACCTGCTCTGGTTTCTGTCTCAGGCCCCAAATTGCCTGGGCTACCTCCATGGTCCCACAGTCTCTTGGGAGAGGAGGTGACTCTCAAGTGCCCACGAGGCCCCTCAGGAAGGAGAGGAGATTGTTGCTCACTCAGGTCACCATCCAGTCGTCTAGGAACCAAAGACGGCAGAGCTGGACGGAGTAACCAGTGCAGGGTCTCCCTCCTCCCTGCGCTCTGCTCAGGAGAACTTGGTCTCTGCATGGTCGGCCACACGCCTCCCCTGCCAGCAGTTCTGTTGACTGCTTTTATCTCAGGCGCCTGGTTATAAAGCCTCAGGAGAACCAGGGGGCGGGTGCAGGGGCAGGGGGTGCTGAGAGGAAAGATAACTTTTCTTTTTGCTTCCTGGGTCGGCCCTTGGGGTTCCCCACAGTGAGGAACCCTAGTCAGGGACAAAACGCAAAGCCAACTGGAGCCCGGAGAGGCTTGGTTAATTGCTGCAATAAGGAGCTGGCGCAAGAGCGTGAGGGAGGAAGTGGAAGCTGAGGACGGGGAGGCAGGTGTTTTTGGACAGGGGCTCTGATGTGAGGGCTGGAAAGGAAGGAATCTGGCTGAAGCGTGTCCGTGTGGGTTAAGAATCGCACTTCTGTGATGTTGAGAGCGGCCAGTGGCGATTGAGATCCTTTTTCAGACGACTTTTGGTTGCTGGATTGTGCCTGAAATAAAATAATAAGGAACCCCGGGGATAGATGGGACCACCTGGATGTTATTTAGGTGACACCAAAGATCCCCCTGTATAGTAGACCTCAGACTAAAAATGAGGACATAGGTCAGGGGCTGCACGGAGCCCCCCAGCTAGGAGCTGAAGCCTCTAGGTGAAGTGCCTCCTGAGTATGGCAGCCCCGAGGGTGACGAGCTTTTGCAAAATGAAGCTTACATTTGGGCACGTGTGTTTACCTTTGCATATCCATGAAAGTGGTGGAGCATACAGGGGGCAAAGGTGTGAAATCGTCTTAGAACCAATCCCCTGGCAAGAATGAGTTGCTGGGCCTGGGGGCTCAGGACCATGGCCTCGAGAGACACCAAGAGCAACTGTGATAGCGCAGTTTACCACGACAGTGTTCTTCATCCTCCTCTGGTGAGTAGCGACCGGGGTCTGCTTACTTCACGAGCCGTCAAGTCAGGGGCAGCTATTGGGCACTCGTTCCTGCTGAAGCAAAGAACAGTGATGAAAATCGAAGATCCATGGCTGCGCCCGTGCCTGGGTTTCCACAGGGCAGACCCGCACAGAGGCTTGGCTGGCAGGTGGGTGTGCTGTGCAGGTGTAACTTTGGGCTCCAGTGGATGGATGGACCGTACGAACACCAGCCGCGATGACATTGAGATCGAAAGAACTGGAGGGCGGCGCCCAGCAACCACTGCCAAGTGCTCTGAAGAGGGTCCTCTGGGGAGGCTCGAGGTAGAGTGTGGAGAAGAATGTGGAACACAACTCAAAATCATTTAAACAAAAACCAACACGAGCAG